TTCCTTTAAGGTCCATTTTGAATAGGCTCAGAAGGAGCTTTTAGAGGAACTGGCATTTTAGGATTCCTTCTTCTCTTTATTAAAAAGGCATTTTCAGTGTTCCTTAAACTCTTTTAATACATTTATTTTAAGAGCCTATTTTAATTTACTCATTGAGCTAGATTTTCAATTTGCCACGAGTCAGATACAAATGCAAAAATACAGAAATACAAATCAGATATCAGGCAACTGATGCACAGTGCTAGCTTAGGACAAAGGGGAGAGATTGAAAGTTATAATGGCAAAGAAATTGACATGTTGTTACCATTTACTGAACTTTGAAATCAACTACAGTGGGCATTCAGAAGTTTTTAGGATGAGAGGAGGTTACACAGACATTGAAGAGTGGAAACAGCGAGGAATTTGTTAAAATGGATGTTATGGGAGCCAACATATGTCTGCACTCACAGGGTTAATGGTTGTAAGTTAGGATGGAGGGCAGTAGAATTTTGAAGAGACCAAGTTTATGGAGAGTACAAGTGACCAGCGGTGTTCCAAAGGGATCAGTGCTGGGTCCACTTGTGTTTATCATTTTTATAATTGATTTAGATGAGAGTATAGAAGGCATGGTTGGTAAGGTTGCAGCGACAGCAAGATTGGTGGTATAGTGGACAGTGAAGAAAGTTATTTAAGATTTCAAAGAGATCTTGATCAATTGGGTCAGTGGGCTGAAGTGTGGCAGATGGAGTTTAATTTGGATAAATGCGAGGTATTGCATTTTGGTCAAACAAACAAGGACAGGATTTATACAATTAAAAGTAGGGTCTTGGGCAGTGCTGTAGAACAGAGAGACCAATTTCTTTGAAATTTGCATTGGGTGATTAAGAAGGTATTTAGCATGCTTGCCTTCATTGCTCAGACCTTTGAGTATAAAAGTTGGTACTTTATCTTGAGGTTGTACAGGGCATTGGTGATACCTCTTCTGGAGTACTGTGTCCAGTTCTGGTCACTCTGTTACAGGAAGGATATTATTAAGCTGGAGAGGGTTCAGAAGAGATTTACCAGGATGTTGCCAGGAATGGAGAGTTGGAGGTTAGAAGTTAAGACTGAATAGGCTGGGACTTTTCTCACTGGAGCATAGGAGGTTGAGGCTGGCCTTATAGAAGTTTATAAGGTCATGAGGGGTATAGATAAGGTGAAATTTTCCCAATGGTGGGAGATTTCAAGACTTAGGAGCATATTATTAGAGGTGAGAGGAGAAAGATTTGAAAAGGGCAGGAAGGGCAAATTTTTTTTTTACATAAAGTGTGGTTTGTGCGTGGAACGAACTTCCAGAGGAAGTGATAGATGCAGATCCAGTTACAATGTTCAAAAGACATTTATACAAAATGGATAGGAAATGTTTGGAGGGATATGGGCCAAGGGCAAGCAGGTGGGACTAGTTTAGTTTGGGATTATGGTCAGCATGGACTGGTTGGACTAAAGGGTCTGTTTCTGTGCTATATGAGTCTATGGCTCTAAGATGGGAAGCCAGTGACAATTGTTTTGAAACAGTCAAATCAAGCAAACAAGAACAGATGGCAAAAGTGGGCGAATGTAAAGGAATGCTTCTAGTACTAACTTTCATTGAAAAATCTGGAATCCACACAAGTATAGAAATGTGAGAGCAAGTGACAGGAAAGTTAATGATAAACATTGGTTTAAATGTGCCCAAGCTTACATTTTAATTGAAATATCATGTGATGAAGAAGGCAAGAAGAGGAGATCGACAAAAATCACTTGCATTTATACAGGCGGTCTTAAGTAAAACATCCCAAGACATTTCACAGTAGTATTATCAAAAAAAGCAGACAAAGCCACATGAGAAGATATTAGACCATTATGCTTTAAGGAGCATCATAAAGGAGATGCAGAGGGGCAAGAAAGTATAGAAAAGAAATTCCAGCATTTAGATCTTAAACCTAAGATGAACGCATGGTCACCAATTGTGGACGAGTTAAAAAGAGGCAGGATGCTTTAGGGGTGTGTTTTAAAGCATCACAGAGGGCTCTGTGATAAGATTTATAGGGTTGGAGGAGATTGGAAAGATTGGTTAAATCACTCAGTGATGGTTGAGAATTTTAAACAGGCATCCACACTAGACTGTTTGCACTAATCATTAACCACCAAAATCATTCTCAGGTCCTGGTTCAGTTATCTAGCTGTGACTGGCTCCACTGAATTTGATATATTATAATGCCAGTTACAGCTTTTGGTTGGCACAGTTCCTGGAGATAACCTGCAACACAGCGACGGAATTTCCAGGGACAATCCTGGTCATCACCTCCCACCATGGCCTCTCTCACAACCTGATCCTCCCAGGCAGTGGGGTCAGTGTATTCCTGCAGAGCTGGGGGATTGGGGAGGCCTGCTGGGGAAGAGGTGAGAAAATAGCAAAAATCCAAGGTGGGATGGGTCACTGATACAAACCTGGAGTGGGAGAACCAGACAAAGGTCCGCTGTCTGCAGATCGGAATGGGTGGCCAATTTATATCATTAAAGGCACAATAAATGGTGATTTTCCAGGGCTGCAGGGATTCTGCTGCATGCAAGGCTGCCAGCATCATGGCTGTGACACCTAACTTCGTCATAAATTATGGAGCTTCCAAGGCTCTGTGAGGAGCCCAAGGGCAGATAAGGCCAGGCCAGCCTGAAATCCCAGACAGCCCTCCAGAGGGCTGATACCAAGGCACCCTTTATTTACTTTTGCGCAGTACAGTGGCTACGGCCAACCAACTCAGAGTCAGTCACCTGAACTGAGGAGATTCCAAATCCCCTGGTTACGTTGGTCAGCTAGAGCTTTCTGATTGGCCCAGATTAACAACCCCAATCAACAACCTCACAGTCAACAACATCCATCTGGTTCCAATTACAACAGGTAGCCTCATTTTTTATTTGAATTTCCAATTAAAAGGAATGTGACTAGAAGTGAAATTATGATTAACTATAAGAGAGAAAATCCTGTATCATAGAATCCCTACGGTGTGGAAACAGGTCCTTGGGCCCAACAAGTCCACTCCGACCCTTGGAGCATCCCACCCAGACCCATTCCCCTATGTCCCACCTAATCTACACATCCCTGGACACTCTGGGGCAATTTAGCATGACCAATCCACCTAACCTGCACATCTTTGGACTGTGGGAGGAAACCAGAGCACCCGGAGGAAACTCACACAGACGTGGGGAGAATGTGCAAACTCCACACGGACAGTTGCCTGAGGGTGGAATCGAACCCAGTTCCCTGGTGCTGTGGGGCAGCAGTGCTAGCCACCGCGCCACCATGTACAGTATGTACAATTTTTGGAACTTGAAATTGGAGGTTCCAAAGCTCCATTTGTTACGTCTCGGGTAAGCTGTAATGAACTAAAATAATAATTTTGTCCAGTTCGCTAACATTGATTTTGTAAAAGGAATAAACTAAAATATGGGGCAAGTATTAGGACTAAAAGCTTCCCCAAGGCTTAAACAAGGACACAATTAAAAAAAAACTCATCCGAAAGAGCAGTTTTCTACATTTGTGTTCAGCAAGATCCAGCAATGAAATAATAAGCAGATAACTTGCTTCTACCTGTTAAGAGATAAACTTTAGCCAGACCATGGGGAAGAACTCCCCTTTTCTTGGAAATAGTATTGCAGTTTTCTCATATTCACGTGAAAGTAGGACTGATCGTTACAAAGGGATAAACAAAATAATGCTACATCTGCAAAACAGCTTTTGCTTTCTTAGTGGGTTAATTAGAGTAAATGTATCATTGCCCACTAGGTACTAATATTGATAACATTACAGACAATGATGGGTAAGGGTCAGTGCTGGGAGAATTCATGTGGAAAATCAGCCTTTATAAATAAAGTTTGGGGCAGACGCACAGCAACTACAGTGTAGGTGCAAACTGTGAATCTGAAATAACAGCCTTTTCTAGCAAAATCTGACTCCAAACACACATTCTAATTTCTTTGCATTGAGTGAAATAGAATCATCACTACAGGTGTGCTCTAAAGGGAGGCATTGGCCTAGTGATACTATCATCAGACTATTATTTCAGAGATCTAGGTAATGCTCTGAGGACCTGGCTTTGAATCCCACCACGGTAGATGCTGGAATTTGAATTCAGTTTTAAAAAACCTGGAATTAAGAGTCTAATAATGACGACGAATCCATTGCCAATTGTCAGAAAAACCCATTTGGTTCACTAACATTCTGAGGAAGGGTCACCGGACCCGAAACATTAATTTTGTTTTTTCCTTCACAGATGCTGCCAGACCTGCTGAGCTTTTCCAGCAACTTCTGTTTTTGAACTGCTATCCCTTACCTGGTCTGGCCTACATGTGACTCCAGACCCACAGCAATGTGGTTGACTCTCAACTGCTCTCTGGCCAATTAGGGATGGACAATAAATGCCAACAACACGCAGATCCCATGAACAAATAAAAAAATTCCAAAAATTCATATCCACACCTAAAACTGTAAATTTAAACAGTTGTTATCTCTAGGATTAAACAACACAGTTTAGAGCAGTGCAAACAGTACTCAGACTGTGTGAGTAAGGTTTGAACAGGTCTTTGAAGTTGAAGATTTATGATCTAACCAACAATACCCTTGAGGGAATGTAATCCTTTGGGGTAATGATTAATAGCATCAGATGTTAGGTCACTATAAAAGACACAAAGCAAGTTGATCTGAACTTAAAAGGCAGTGTGCATTTTATTGATTAGTACATACCATTCTAAAAACATGAGAGAAAAAGTGTACAACTCCAACATCAACGTTCCTCAGTCACAATTAAAAGGGGTTATTTTCTCTGGGATTCAGTGTGATACTAATTGAAACACTTTAAAAGAAATGCTGTAGCAGAGGTTACTGAAGAGTAATTGGGAGTAGGAGAATTGCAGGTTTTCGTAACTAATTCAGCACAGCCTGGAAACCTTTTGGTTCAGCACAAAAGATTCATGGTTTTGAACTCAAAGACTGCAAAGGGGGTTACCTTCAATTACAGTTTGATTCTCGTGCCAATGAAGGTAATTCCGAGACAGGAGAAATCCGAGGGGAATATTCCAGCCTGCTGTATGTCGAGCACCATTATGACAGCTTCTCTTTCCTCTTAACTTCTGAATATCTAGGCTTTCATTCTGGACCACTGCCACGGAATACAAACAGCCACCTTGCAGATAGAACAGGAAGGAAGATAACTACATGTTAGACTAACAGTAACAGGAAAAATCCCTTTCTATTCTTTGTATGAGTGGAACAAGTTTATAGGTCTCAGAAATGACCAAGTAAATATGTTTCGCACTAATGTGATTCAGCATGCGTTTAGATGTGGATCACCTTTTTAATCTGCTGTTGTTTAAAAATTTGACTGGAATTACTGAGTGTGATATATTCCTTTTCACAGGCCAAAATTAGAAACAGAGCAGGTAGCAACAACGACAACTTATTTTTATATAATGCCCTTCATATAGGGCAGTACAGCGGCTCAGTGGTCAGTACTGCTGCCTCACAGCACCAGTGACCCAGGTTCCTAGGGTGACTGTCTGTGTCGAGTTCGCTCATTCTTCCTGTGTCTGCGTGGGTTTCCTCCAGGTGCTCCGGTTTCCTCCCACATCCTGCCAAAGATGTGAACTTTAGGTGGATTGGCCATGCTAAATTGCCCACAGTGTCCAGGGATGTGCAGGCTAGATGGATTAGCCACAGTAAATGTGGGGGTATGGGGATAGGGTGGGATGCTCTTTGAAGGGTCAGTGCAGACTTATTGGGCCAAACCGTCTCTATCTGCACGGTTATGATTCTTAAAGTAATGAAACATCCCAAAACGCTTCACATGAAGTGCACCTGCAGAGTATGATATGGAGCTACATGAGATATTAGCTACATGGACAACCAGACATTTGGTGAAAGAGGTAGTTTTAAAAAGTGCCCTAAAGGGGATAAGTGATGTAAAGGGCCAGAGAGATATGGAGAGAAAATTCCAGAGCTTTGGGTCCAGGTAATTGAAGACATTACCACCAATGGAGGAGTGATTATTCTTGGGAATACACAGGAGGCTGGAATTAGAGGGGTGTGGATAGCTCACAGATTTGTGAGGGTTTGAGGACATTACAGTGAGAGGGAGGGGCAAGGCTATGAGGCATTTGAAAACAAAGAACAGGAGTGTTGGAGAAACTGAGCAGGTGTGGTGAGAGCAGTGCAAACAGTACTCAGACTGTGTGAGTAAGGTTTGAACAGGTCTTTGAAGTTGAAGATTTATGATCTAACCAACAATACCCTTGAGTGAATGTAATCCTTTGGGGTAATGATTAATAGCATCAGATGTTAGGTCACTATAAAAGACACAAAGCAAGTTGATCTGAACTTAAAAGGCAGTGTGCATTTTATTGATTAGTACATACCATTCTAAAAACATGAGAGAAAAAGTGTACAACTCCAACATCAACGTTCCTCAGTCACAATTAAAAGGGGTTATTTTCTCTGGGATTCAGTGTGATACTAATTGAAACACTTTAAAAGAAATGCTGTAGCAGAGGTTACTGAGGAGTAATTGGGAGTAGGAGAATTGCAGATTTTCGTAACTAATTCAGCATAGCCTGGAAACCTTTTGGTTCAGAACAAAAGATTCATGGTTTTCTGTGAAGAGAGAAAGGGAGTTAACTTTTTCTTGGAACCCCACGGAACACTGAGTGCTGTGTAGTAAGGGATTTAATAACATAGATAAGGATGTTAAAATCAAAGCATGGCTGGGCCATGAATCAATGTGGATCAGCAAACATGGGGCAACAAGGGAATGGGACTAGCTGTGAGTAAGACGCTTGCAACAGAGTTTTGGATGATCTCAAGCTTAAAGAAGAGACACTGTGGGAGACCAGCCAGGACTATTTTGGAACATTTGAGTCTGGCAGTAGCAAAGGCATGGGTGAGGCTTTCAGCAGCAAACAAGCTGAGAGAGAGGCAACGTCAGTGTTACAGAGGTGAAAATAAGTGATGTAATCATTTCACACGTATGAGATCGAAAGGTCTTCTCAGGGTGCAATGGCATCAAGATTATGAAGAGTCTGGTGTAATCTCAGACTGTTAAAAGCAAGAAAGATGAAGTTAGTACTTCAAAAATAGAGTTTGGATGTGAACTGCAGTATATTATACATACTGTACATAATCCACCTTCACTATACAAGGAGCAGGCAGCACTTTGTAATACAGATACAGTACATAATCTACCTTCACTATACTGGGAGCAAGGAGTACTATTTAATGCAGAAATTGTACAGAACTCGCCCTCACTTTACAGGGAGTGGCAAGTGCAATGTAATAGAGACACTGTACAGAATCCACCCTTAATACATAGGCAGCAGGCAATAATGTATTATTCAGAAACTGTACAGAACACATTCTTGCTTTACAGGGAGCAGGGAGTGCACTGTAACATAGACACTGTACAAAATCAACCCTCACTGTACAGGGAGCTGGGAGTGCTATGTAAAGCAGGCATTCTACAGAATCTACTCTCACTATGCAGGAACAGGGGAGTACTATGTAATATGGATATTGTATAGAATCCATCCTCATTAAACAAGGAGCATCACAAAACAAGGAGGATGCAAGACAGATACTCCACAGAAGTCACCCTCACTATACAGGAAGGGTGTATTATGTAATATAGATACTGTACAGAATGCACTCTATACAGGGAACAGAATTAGCTTTATAATGTAAATATTGGACAGAATTCACCCTCACTATGGTAGGAGCAGGAAGTACTATAAACAATATACATACTGTACAGAATCCACCCTCACAATACAGAGAGTTGTGCTATATGATGTAGATGCTATATAATGTAAATACTGTACAGAATCACTTAGAATTTATAGGAACCAAGGAGTGCTATCTAATACAGATAATGTACAGAATCCACACAGGAATTATACAGGGAGCAGAGAGTGTTATGTAATATATAAACTGCAAAGAATCCACCATTAGTATATAGGAGGAAGGGTCTGCTATGTAATACAGATACTGTGCCGAATCCACCATCACTGTTCAGACAGCAGGCAGTGCTGCTTAAAACAGACACTGTACAGAATCCACAGTCATTACACAGGGAGCAGGGATGTTATGTAACACAGAAACTGTACAGAATCCACCCTCACTTACAGAGAACTGAGAATACTACATAGTATAGATACATAGCAATTCCATCTTCACTCTACAGGGAGTCGAGGGTGTCATGTAAATTAGGCACAGTACAGAATTCATCCTCAGTATACAGGGAGCAGAGGGGGCTATACAGTATAGATACA